TCTCTCTCTCTCTCTCTCTCTCTCTCTCTCTCTCTCTCTCTCTCTCTCTCTCTCTCTCTCTCTCTCTCTCTCTCTCTCTCTCCCGTCAAACCAAGCGCAGCAAGCACCACAGCGACCACAAAGCGTTGAAAATCGTCGCATCGAAACATCACTGCACGAAGCAGCACACGAATGCAAAAGCCGGACCGGCGACAACTGTAAGATTATCGAGCGGCTCCGGGCTGGATGGCCCGATAGAAGTTTCGGGAATCATCTGGCGCGGATCCCCGAAAGCTCTATCGGGCCGTCCAACCCGGCCCTCGCCGGTCCGGCTCGCCCCGAAGGCCTCATGCGGTGTCTGTCGGGCTCGCCTACCGGTCCCACCGCGTTTCCCAACAGCGGAAAGCGGGATCTCGCGGGAGCATTACGCGAGACCCGCTATTTTGCTTAAAGAGTGTTAAGGATAAAAAAAAAACGGAGAAGAGACTGGGAGAAAAAAAGAGGTGGATAAGACAAAAGGGGAGAAAAGGGGGTGGATGAGACAAAAGGAAAATGGCCAGTTCGGACTGGCACTATAGGGACTGGCATATCCCTACTGTGACCTCATCCCTCCAAATTTTGTGGAGGGCAATTTGGATTGCAGAGATAATGCCCTTGAGCAATATCTGAATAAAAAAAGCAAAATTGGGCAAAAATGCGAAAAGGAGTTGGCCGTTTTTTTTGTGAGCCATGGATTTGAGATCAGATATCATGGTGGAGAGCATATGGCCGTTTTTTGTGGGCCAGCTCAAACGGCCAACTTCGGAATGAGTTGGCAGCTTAAACGGCCAACTCCGGAATGAGTTGGCAGCCTAAAATGGAAAGAAACAAAAGAAGGAAAAAACCGAAACTGTGAATTTGGCCCAAAAGGAAGACCAGATGCGCACCAAAACTGAAAAAGTGAGCATAGGGGCTCAAAATTGAAGCAAGGACCACTTGGGGGTAGCTCAGAATTACGCTGGTCTTAGATCTCAGCAAGATCCAAGGCTGAGATTGCTCCGAGGCATGGGAAAATACCTCGGCCTACCCAAATTGGAGTAGGAACAACAAAAATCGAGAAAAAGGCCCAAGCCTTCCTCGCTGTTCATGATCTTCATCTGGGTGTATGGCGCTGGCCTCTGGGAGGCTGTTTCAGTGCAGCGCTAGACTCTGGGAGTGGAGTAGCGAGTGGAGTGTGTGGGACTATGGTGGCAAGATACTGAGTTGAACTCTGGAACGATAATTGTGTTATATTCCAATTGTGATCTTCGCAGTGTCATATTGTGATTGGTTGTTGGGAGTTCGTCAGAGAGAGAGAAACACTGAGCGTATTCTCCCCTTCTGTGCATGGTTGCTATTCCGGTGCTTATCTCTGGTCTGTGTGCAGTTGGACTTTGTCTCCCCCTCCCCTTTGTGTCATGCATGTATGGGCGTGTGTGAGTTCTTCTGTGTGTGAGTGGCAACAAAGTGTCAGACAACCAAGTTCATAACAGTTGGTATCGGAGCGGAGATTGGACTTGGAGCACTGAGGGTTGAGCGCAACAGGGGCATCCTCTTCTTCTGGCCCTAACTGGCGAGAAGTTCCATGGTGGCTCTGTAACTTCAGTGAACATCCAGGAGAGAAGAGGACATACAAGCGGTGGTTGCAGAGTATCAGTGTGCGAGTGATCAGGCACCCTGAGCCTGTCTTTGTGCCTGACAGGAATTGGCGAGAACAGGGGTATTTTGCCATCCACCCTTCTGACCTCAGTTGATGACTGGGATCAGGGTGGCGAATTACACCCTAATCCAGTGATAACTGGGCGGCAGCTTCAATCCCAGTATAGCGTTGAGGGAGGATTGATCGCAGGATCAGTCTCCTGCTAAATTAACCCTACCCAGGGCTAAATTTAGCACCAGCGGCTTACCCCTGCAGTGGCGAGATATCTTCAGGAGAGTCTTCTCTCGCCACTGAGGTAGATCCAGTGAATCTGAGAGTGGGGGATCAACAAGTTTCAGGAGATTCTACCCGTGGGAATCAGTGGAAGAGAGTCTGCATGCAAGTGGCAAGACCCAGGTCTGGCAGCCATAGCCAGAGCTTCATCATCCACTGTGTCAAACACTTCAAGTGAGTGTGTTCCATGTGAATCCCTGAGTCGCGATTAGACTAGCATTAGTAAAGTCTGAATTGATGGTCTGTCTGTCAGTAGCGTCACAATTTTGAAATTGTCAGACTGCAAGACAGCCATAGCCATCTTCTTCTTCCCTGCCCTGACTCATATCTCATCATCTACTGACCTGTTCTGACTCAAAATTGTTCTGGGACTGTATGACAGTATTGCGCTGCACCCTGTGTTCTCATTCTGTGGATTCTGTACAAAAAAAGTAGTGATACTGGGGATTTGAGTTTTGCGTTGAGTCTATTTATAGTCTGTACTATCTAGGGTCAGTCATAACTCAAAATTTGTCCGTCAGAATTCAAGTCTGTCAGTCTAGGGTGAATCGCAATTCAATTTCTATCATCTGTGCTGAAGCGCTAGCCCAGAATCAGTGAATTTGAGCCATTACAGTGAAATTCTGAAATTCGCCATATCTGGGGGTATTTCTGTTGATGTCAGCAGTGGCAAAATTTGAGTTTAGGGCTGTCAGGGTGTAGTTTACTGCATCGCTACTACTTGTTGTTGTGTTTCAGTCAGTTCTTCCCTGTATCCATCACTGCCACTAATCTTCTTTGTTTTCTGATGGGCTTTGGAATATTAGTGATCCTTGGAATGTACTGATAATGTGTGTTGCAACTTCAGTGAAGGGTTTTAGGCAAGACCATCCCTCGTGGCATGCGTCAGGTCATGGTCTGCGTTGACAGGTTTTCCAAATACGCAGAGTTCATCCCCTTACCAGAGGTGGCGAGGGTCCCGGCTGTGAGAGCAGCCTTTTCTGAGAGGTGGGTCACACACCATGGACCGCCCACTTCTATTGTCAGCGATCAAGATCCCCGATTTTGCAGTGATGAGTGGCAGTCCTATTGTAAGGATTACCTGCATTCTCGATTGGACATGACCTCTGGTCGTCATCCTGAAGCCAATGGTCAGGCTGAAGTGATGAACCAGATCTTGGTGCAGTTGCTGCGCCTTGTCATCTCACCAGATCAACAGGACTGGGACCTCCATCTCGCGCGTGCACAGCTCGTGTATAACATATTTGTCCACTCCTCGACTGGGTTCAGTCCCTATCGACTACACTGGGGATGAGAGCCACGTCAGCCTCTCGATGACATCATCGACAAAGCTAAGACAAACCTGACTCCAGGCACAGCAGAGTTCACCAGACGCTATCGTCTGGATGTGGAAAGAGCTCGGGCGAACTTGTTCAAGCCCAAAAGGCTACGATTGAACAAGCTAACTGCCATCGCAGGCCTTCCCCCATCCGCACTGGTGATTATGTCTGGGTAGCCAGTTCAGAGTTGTCGAGGGAGGATGATATTTCTCCTAAGCTGCTGCCACGATACCTTGGTCTGTGGCAGGTGTTAGATACAGTAGGGGCAGATCCCTTTGGTCCGTCCTACACCATTGACGTCCCTCTGCATCTATGTACCTATTCGGTCTTCCATGCATCTAAGCTGCTTCCCTTCACCCCAGCTGATGCATTCCCTGACCGGCCCCCTCAATGGGGCCCACCAATCCCTGGTAAGGGATGTGACGTGGTGGCCATTGAGGATGAGTGGGGCACTGGCCCTGACAGGCAGTATCTTGTGAGGTTTGCCTTCCAACCCCCGACTGAGAATCGGTGGTATTACAGGAAGGACCTTCTCAAGACAGCAAGGTCTGTTGTACTGCGGTATGAGGCGGCTCAGAAGGGTAACCTTCGCCGTTCACCTCGCCTGCACCCCTAGCTCGAAGGTCCTCGCTCCCGGGGAGGGTAAGCTTGCAATGACTTGCTGATTTCTGCTGCCGAGATTGACTGCGAGGCTGTACACTAACCGGTAGGGTTAGTTTTGTAATTTTGTTTGGCTGAGGGCTAACCGAGAGATCCGTCTGTGAGGAAATTCGTGAGGGACAGATCTGCAAATCCGGGAAAATACAGGCCCAGTACTAACCGAAGTCCTACAACTACCCTAACTGCCTATAGCAGGCCCGGGCTACCCCTAGGACAGATAGGCCCTAAGTGGCCTATACTGCTATACGGTCCTATAGCCTATAGCCGGGTACGGTAGAGGCCGAGAGGCCGAAACAGCAACGGTACCGGTCAGTCCAGTCAGTCCGGTCTAGGTCTAGGCTAGAGTAGGAAGTCTATAAGTCCGGTGGGGAAATCGAGTAGGCACTTTTGGCTTTTCATTTTTCGCATGCAGCGTTTTGTGGCCAACCAAGTTTGTTGCGCTGAAGGTATACAGCGGCACCTGAGACCTCAGCCGCGTGAGGCAGCCATAGCCGGCCTACCTGAGACAGCCATAGCTGGGGCTGTGCTCAGCGCATCTACCCCCTTGGGGTCTGGGGGATGTCAATGGTGGATGTCACAGACCTTGCAGGTGTGTCTGTGGAAGAGGAACAAGAAGAGGAGGACGAAGAAGAAGAAGAAGAAGAAGAACAGTACCAGAAAAAAAAAAAAAAACACACAGCCTGGAGAGAAACCATGTCCACATTGCTCCACGACCATGTCCAAAAACACACACACAGCCTGGAGAGAAACCATGTCCAAAAAAAAAAAAAAAACACAGCCTGGGATGACAAGACCGAAAAAAAAAAAAAAAAACAAGCCTGGAGAGAAACCATGTCCACATTGCTCCACAACCGATTACATAAAGTCTCTCTCTCTCTCTCTCTCTCTCTCTCTCTCTCTCTCTCTCTCTCTCTCTCTCGCACGCACACACACACACACACACAGCGACCTCATTCGCCATCGGACAGGCTTCCCTCAAATTCAGATGACCGTTCACTGCAGTTATCTGAATCGGGGTCATCCTCCACAACCTCCGCGCGAGCCTTGCGCTGCCGAATGTTTTTTTTTTTTTTTTTGCACCGGGCTCAGCGGTCTTCAGCTTGCGGGGCCGGCCCCGAGCACGCTTAGGCTTCGCAGCAGCATCCTCCGCCGGTTCCTCTTCCTCCCCACCCTGCTCACCCACAGGTTGTCATGTTGGACAGCCTCATTACTTGGAGCGAAGTCGGGTGCGTTCTCGACAGACTGTGCGGACGCAACTGGTCGTTGCTTACGTGTGTACACAGCCTTCAGTGCAGGCCGGTGCTCCTCTTCACCGTCCTCGTCATCCATGTTGTACTGCGTGTCCTGTTCATCTGTGCCCTCCGCGTCTTCTTGCTGTTCCATGGCCTTCTCCACTCCTTCACTCTCCATCCCCTCCTCGTCCTCTTCATGCTCCATCTCCTCGTCCTCCTCTCCGTGCTCCTTCTCCACCTCCTTCAAAACCGGTCCACTTTGCGGTTGCTCTTCCTCATCTCCCTCTTGCACAGCGTCCAATGCCCGACGTGTCTCTGGTTCCTTCTCCCCAACTTTCTTCAAGCGTCTCTCAATCTCCCTCCGGGTTGGGATTGCTGCGCATCGGGCCTCTTCTTCCATGATCCGTTTTTGGACGGCGTCTCTATCACGATCTGCTAATGCCTTTGCGCGGTCAGCCTCCACCTCGTCTTCGTCAACCGAACCACTTTGCAGCAGCAACTCGATGTCCGTGTCCATGTGATGGAACTCGACGTCAGACTGAGGATGGTATTGGGAGGAGCTTTCCCTCCGGGCCTGTGTCGAGACCGCTGGCTGCCTCTCCCTCCGACGCTCTGCAGGTTCTCTCCTACCAACATAAGTAGTCCCCGGGACCGATGGCTGGGGTGCCAACTCAAAATTGGAATCACTTTCGTCCTCCTCCTCCGCTCCGCTCGTCTCATCCAACAATCCGCACTTCCCCTTCCACAACTCATCATCCAAGTCACTGTCGTCGGTGCGCTCTTCCTCTTCGTCCTCGAGCTTCTTTGGAATCCTTCCCTTCGTCGTCTTCACGAAGCTACTTTGCCGCACCAGCTCCTCATCTGTCTTCTCGGTTTCGTCCTGAGGGCCCCTCAAGACAGATCCATCGTTCTCATCTGGCTCTGGAATAGCCTCGAAGAACGAACTCCACAAATCAACGTAGCCCTCGCCGTTGACACCGCCGTTGTTGGCAGCACGCAGCAGTTGCATGTTCCAATGGATGTACACCAACTTCTCCAATGTTTCGGGCTTCAAGCTGTTCCTCCTTTTCGAATGCACGAAGTCCATGGACGACCAATTCCTCTCAGCCGGGGTTGCTGTACTCCACATGCCCATCACTTTGATGGCAATGGCCTGCAAGTCGGGGACATCGCCACCATAAGTCGCCAACCACTCTGACGGTGTGAGTTTCTCACAATCAACCTTCGCATCGGGCTCCCACATCTTCTTGTTCTTTCTCTTGGGCCCGTTCGGCGTGGGCTCCTTGTGAAACTTGTGCAGGTCCCCCAAAACCTCAAGGTGGTCGCGCCCTTTCCAAGGACCTCCAACCTGTCTCTGCAGGTAACACATCGCGTTCTGCACAATGGCACTGTCCCGATCATACAGCCACCGTGGATTTCTCCTGCGCGGGTCGAGAAGGAACGTCAGTGCATGTACTGGCTGCCGCATCACCCGATCTCTCACTTTCTCCATGACGGTTGCCTGCTGCTCCTCAGTGAGAACGACGTGAGGCAGTTTCCTCTTAATCATGTCGTCGTATTCGACAAGGTTGGTCGGCGATGTTCCATCCCGATCCATCCTCTTGAGAAGGTTGTACAACGGTTCCATGACATCAACCACCTTCTTCAACTCCGTCCACCAGCCGTCTCTCCTCATGGTGAAGTAAACCAGGTCTGCTTTCGCCTTCAACTTTGCAGTGGACCAACGGATCCCCGTCCACCTTGCTGCATTTTTTCGATCCACCATATCCGACAACACTGCCTTCCTGTCCAGAAGCCTCTCCAACATCATGTACACGGACCCGAACCGGACTTCCGTAGGACGAAGCAAGGTCAGGGAATCGTCCATGGACATCATCAGGCTGTTCATGGAGTGGTGGTTCCGGATGAACTTCACAATCGTGTGGCCTCTTTTGACAGTGCTCTTCACCTAGTCTAGCTTGCTGATGTCTCGCAGCAGAAGGCTGCAACAATGCGCAGCGCAAGGAACCCATGGAATCCTTGCAATGTCCTTGTCAGTGCGGCGCTCCTGAATCTGAGCGGCCTTCTTGTTCACCTCGGCATTGTCAGTGCAGATCACGTTGATGCGATGCACCCCAATCTCCCTCATGATCTTCTCCCACAACCTTGCCAACGCTTGCGCTGTTTTCTTCCTTGCCGTCATTGACATTGTGGCCACCAGAACCGCACCCTTCTCCCCCGCTGCCAAGAAGTTCATGACAGGGCGCTCTCGACGGTCGGTTGACCCATCCGTGATGAATGTACAGCCTGATTCATCCCAACATGCTGTCAGAGGATTCACTTGCTTTTGAATTCGCAAGTAGATGAAGTCAAGCATCACCGTCCTCATATGGTTGTACGAGGGCAGCTTGACGTTCAGTCGAGCACTCGCCACTTCCAAGTAAACTTCGTGGAGCTTCTGCGTCGTGTCGAATTTCAGGAAGTTAAACGCAATGCCAGCACGGAACATCGCCTCCGCCCACGCAATATCCAGCTTCTTCTGTGCGTTGTTGGGTGGTCTCTTGATTGTTGTTTGCTGCAGTGATGCCACTCTCGTGTTCGACCCTGAACCTTCCGCTTGCCCCTCGTCTGTGCTGGCGACCGGCTCTATTCGGGAAGATGTTTTCGGTGGTGCCATCCCCGCAGTGGTCGGCGGTTGCGGCTCCTCCTACCCGCAAACAGCCGGCTCAGAGTCCGCGTCCTTGGTCTCCGTCGAAGTCGTCCCCCCTTCCGCAATGCCATGCAACTGCCTATAGTTCTTGAGGAGGTACTGCGTCTTTTTGTCGCTCGGCAGCACCTTCGCACCGGCAACAACGAGCTTGTGCACGATCTCACCTGTCCTCAAGGGACACGGCTTCAACAACTTCAAAAAGTGTTCGACTGCCCTTGTGCTCGTGCCCCTCCAAATGTGTGCGCATTGCCGGCACTTCAGCCAGTACTCTCCTCGACCCTTCGGCAGGGCGTCTTGACCCTGGATAACGTACTTCCACACTTCCCGAGTACGCTGCAGTTGTTGTTGCCTTGTCTCATCCTGAGGAAGGAACAGAGAGTGGTCTGACGCTGGTGTGGGATCCTTTGCAGTCACCCCAGATGCGGGAGCACTGGAACTGGCACTGGCCTTTCCTGTGTCCTTGGATCCGGGCGGAGGTCTCCCCCTTCCGGATCCGCCACTGCCACCGCCTGCTGCAACGCCGCTGCCGCCGCCGCCCGCCATTCTACAGCAATGTGTGGATTCTGAAGCACTCGCCAACAAACACCGAACGCACCCCCCTTGGCCCCCCTTTAAACCTCTCCAAAAGAAAAAAAAAAAAAAAAAAAAGGGGGGATATGGTGGATGTCTGCGGGACACGTGGAGAAGAAGAAGAAGAAGAAGAAGAAGAAAAAGAAGGTGGGACTAAGAAGGAGAAGAAGAAGATGATGATGATGATGATGATGATGATGATGATGATTGGCGGTGATGGCGGGAAGGGGGTTTGGGGGGATGGCAAGAAGCAAAAGAAGATGATGATGATGATGATGATGATTGGCGGTGATGGCAGGAAGGGGGGTTGGGGGGATGGCAAGAAGCAAAAGAAGA